AACTCTGAGCAACTCACCCGCAAACGCAAATGGAAGTCCCTGGCCTTAAATAGCACGAAGTTCCTGTCTGGGAGCCAGCTTTGTAGGTTACAAAGCAAAAGGGCTTTATATAAATGGACGCACCGTAGGAAAAGCTACTACAAGGGGAACTTTTGCCGTTGGGGGTTGGGAGGGCTAGCACAGGGGGTACCACACCGGCAGTGAATTAAGACATCGCTTGGCCGTCTGCCTTACCACGCGTCTGGAAACAGGAGACCAGCTGACTGAGGACTGAAGGCTCTGAAGCCTGGGGCAAAATAAGTCTCTGCTCTTGTAAGTCCTTTCTGTTCGGTGCTTTTTCCAACACGGAAATGAACACCTGGCGTTCATTTGTGTTTGTGCTTTCTCTAAGCAGAAGATTCTGTTCTGTAGAGGCGCTTTGGGACTTGACTGACACCTTCGAAGGTCTCAGTCGAGGGCTCAATTTCGCCCTCTGCTGGCAGAACCGAGAACTCCTGTTCTGTGCTGTGAGTTTCCCGGAGAGCCTGAGCTGTGATTACCTCTTTATCTGATTACCCGCTTTATCTCTTTCTTGGCCACCTCCCTTTCTCCGTCTTATCCTTCCTTTCGCACAGCCCTTCCTCTGATCAGCTCCCTAGCAAGCACAGTGCACCCAAATCTTTGTTTCCAGCTGTGGTAAGTAACCCAACCAAAGGCCATAATTCACTTTGGGAAAGCAAACCAAGTTCATATTCTTTTAATACTCAAGTTTACACAGTGCCTTAGGCCAGCCACTGTGGAAATGGCTTGCACGCCCTCCCAAAATGAGCCCAGCTACCCTTATGCTCGATTGACTGGCACACAGCTAAGAAAGCCCAGGCAAAACGGGTCACCCCTCCGGATCCAAATTATGGGGAGGGGTAGAGAAGGAGTTCAGGGCGGCCACATGTCTACATCATGTGAATTTTTCCTCAAGTGTGTGCACAACCCCAGAATTCAAGTGGCGTGTGGCATGTCTGCACCCTTTCCTGAGCTCGGGGAAGGATGACGTGAGCACTAGGTCTTTCTCGGAGGAGGAAGAGCCAGAGATACAGAGTCACAAAGTAAACCAAAGCTGAAGTGTTTCTTTATAAGAAAGAAATCCTTCCCAAAGTCAGTCAATGGGACTGGAAAGTATTTGATGTTTCTCTGTAGCTAGAACACCGTCCTTTCATCCCAGCAGAGATAGAGAGAGAGGGGGAGAGAGGGAGAGAGCAATTGCATTAGCTAAGCTCTGCTACAGAGTCCAGTGTTTTTCTTTTCTTTTTGAAGTACTGGACACCAAACCAGAGTCTTGTTGTCCATACTAGGAAAGTGTTCTGCCACTGAGCTGCATGCCTAGTCCTTTGGGTTTTGTTTGCTTGTTTGGTTGGTTGGTTTTACTTTGGGTTTTTTAACAGACTCTCACTATGTGTCACAGGCTGGACTTGAACTCCTTATCCTCTGACCTCAACCTCCCAGAGTGCTGGGATTACAGGTGAGCAAGCCTACGCCTGGCTGGAACTCAGCTTTGAGTCTGGCGACCAGCTCCATCCTTCAAGGATTCCACTCACTCATCCCACCCCTCTCTACTACTGCCTCCCCGCGGCTTCAAAACTTCTGAAATACTTTCAATGGCAACCCCAAATTCTGTTCAAAAATCCTCTAGGGCTTTCACACACGTGTGGGAAGTATGGCTAGTGGCCATAATATCTGACACTCTCCACTTCAAGGCAGACGAAGCCAGAGAGACAGCCTGAGTTCTGCCTAGTCAGGCAGCCCAACTACTCCCTGGAAAAGCAGGTGTGTCGTGTCAAAGGTGGAAGCGAGGGCACCTTTCCAACTACAGTAATTCATGGAGCTAAGTTACATTTCATTTCAACAGCCTGGCAGAGTTTACCTACCAATGTGTCTGTAGTCAGTAACAACAGCACGTTCTTAATCTGATTTCTAACTAATCCACAAGACAGAAAAAATGATGTGTAGAGTTTTTGTTTTTTTTTTTCTTTTTAGAACAGAGCCATTTCCTCCCATACTTTGAAAGATGGAAGAAGCGCCATGTTTTCAGGACCGAAGGCAGGAAGCATTGTGGAGAATCTTGTTCTGGAACCCTGCAACAGGCATGTCCCTCAGTCTCGTCTCATGTGGGGCCCTGACCTCTGACCAGCGGACTGCTTCATGGAGCCCTGCAGAGCTTTCTGTGACAGGATCTACCACAAAGCCTCGTGCTAAATGCCTTTTATGCATTGACTCAGCAATGGCACTTCAAAGAATTTGTCATACAAATACCTTTGCTCATGCCCCAAATGATGATCTGTGTACTTGTTCACTTTGATACTGTTCTGTGCCAGCACTGACCCACTCCAAGTCCCTGGGTAATAATGGAGTGCCTTCCGGGGAAATGCTTTGTGGTGGTAGTGAGGAGTCGCAACGGTTCACGTCCTAGGACTTCTTGTGTTTGAAATTTCCTTCTCTGTGGTGATAGGAGCTGACGGGACCTTTAAGAAGTGGAGCCTATTGTGAGGTGGAACGTGCCATTGAAGAGATAAACAGGATTTCTCAGGGACCTCAGTCTTGCTCTGGCTTCTTGTCTTGTCATGGGACCACCGCCCCTCACACAAGAGCTCCCGTCATGCCGTGAACTTCCATATCTGTGCCCGAAAAGGAACCCTCTTTTCCTTTAAAGTACCCGTCTCCGGTATTTTGTTATAGTCAAGAAAACTGACTGAGGGGGACAGGCCACTCCAGGTATGTTCTCAGAATGTTACAAGTGCTGAGTTTTTATTACTTATGTCCCTCAAGTAGACTCAAATATACAGCCTCCTGGCCCCAAATTAAAAGTCTCCTTTTCTCATCTATCCATTTTCTCCAAACCCATTTCCGCTACAGAGACCTCTCTCTACTCAGGGATATGCACTGAGGTCAGCCTGCAAATGTTTCACATTCCTTTTTGCCTTTCCTTCCCCTTAGAACCTTACTACAGAGCTCAGCTAAGCCTCTCCCACCTAGGAAGACTTCAGAGAGAAGATAATTTTAACCGACAGTTTGAGAAGCTGCTCTGGCAAGAGGGGGCCAGTTAATAATTAGCATCTTATCTGATTAAGGGATCTCCTCTTCCAGACTTGTAAGCTTATGTGCCAAAGTCAGGACACAGAGTTATCCTCAGTTGTATACTAGGAACCCTCCAACCCTCCAACCCCCTATTCACCAAGGATTATGGCTTCACCCCACCTCCATATGAATGCCACGGCAAGGCTACTCATCCAGGGGTAGCCAGGGGTAGCCTTGTCACCCTCGTGATCAGCCCCACATCCCCCTGTGCACCTGATCTCACCAGTGGTGCGGCTCTCCACAGCTGACTCCTCCCACCCAAGTCTTGAAGCTCTCTCCTGGTCAGCCTTAGGCTTTCTCCAGCATGTGAAGAGTTCCATGGCTCAGATGGAACCATCCAAAAGAGAAAACTGTCCATCAGTACTGGGACTTGGGGCCGATGGTTCCAGCTGCCCTGTGCTGCCACGGACATCCAGGAGGCTCTCCATGTCTTTACAGATGAGCTCCCAATGGCTGCAGTGTCCCTTGCTCATTAACACAGACTGCATCGGCTCTGTCCCACCCCACATCACTCTGTACCCTGTTCTTAGTTTCTATAAACTGCCTGCACTCAGATTTGTTTGGGGGTCTTTTTGAGGATTCTGAATTAAGACAACTCCTTCAACACTCCAAAGCACTGTCCTCATTGTCTCCTTGGGGACTTCACGCTGGTCCCATGACAATTTTATTATGCTGGGGTCAGGACGTCAAGTTGCTAGGATGATAACTATGAGTTTCCAGGTCTGTGTGAGTGTGGTCCTCCCCTAAATCTATCTTGTGGAAGGCTGTGCGCATGCCAGAGGGTCCTAAGGGTCTGCTTGTCCCATGTAAGGGCTGAGCTGGTGGAGATGGCCCAGGAGGGATGAAGCCTTTAGCTCGAGATGATAAACAAGCACCAACTCTTTGTAAGAATGACATAAAGAACATGTTCAGGTATCTGGCTACAGCGTCAGTCCACGCCTTCCACAAAACCAAAGCAGAACAACAAGGACCTTCCACCAGTCTGGAACTTATACTGACCAGCCTCAGCGCCAGCCAAGCCACAGCCTCTGCCTGTGAGGAAAGCAGGAAACTGGCTCCTGTCTCCAGCAAGGAAGAGGATAGGAGGGCAGGAGTGGGTTAGTTCCCCATAAGGTAGGACCAGACAGCACCACAGCAGGCCCACTCCCAAATACGTTTCCAAGTCCTCTATATGGAAAGTTTAAATTGACAGCCTGTTGGTCGTGCCCCGTCTAGAAAACGCTCTCTGCGGCCAACATACAGCTCTTGCTTTAATGGGGTAATTTATAAAGCCTTCCGTTTCTGGGGGAAATAAAACAGCTCCTCAGGAAACAAAGCAAGGGCCCCAGTCTGCACAGGTAGGCTGGAAGTTGGACCGGGATTGTCTTTGAATAGACAAGGAGTATTACAGGAAGGTCATGCCAGAGTTTGGACAAGGACCTCAGAATTGAAGCTTTGTGCAGGGCAAGCCAGAGTATGGGGGCCGCCCCGCACCACCTCTGAGGCAAAACCAGGCTTCATCCCTGGCTTTCAGAGGGCAAGAATGCTGACACTGGGAACTTGTAGACACAACACACACACACACACACACACACACACACACACACACACACACACGTCGCTGGTGGGAACCGTAACTGCTTGCAGAGCACAGTGCTTAGTCTCGGCTGCTGAGGTCTCTCCAGGTTCAGGAGCTTAGAAAGCCCACGGAGGGACCCAATCGTCGGAGGCTGGCGGGGTCCCAGGGGGCGGAGTCGGGCGCCGGCAGGGGCGGGCCACCAGCTGCGGGGAGCAGCGGCAACTCCAGAAAGACGGGCGAGCCTCAGAAGGGCGCGCGGGAGAGCAGGACAGAGCGACAAGCGCGCCCCAGCTGGCCCTTGCCAGGGTGTCCCCCGAGCCTGGGCCGCGCCCACCTGCGGCAGCGCGGCGTCAGGGGGTGAGCCCCTGGAAGGCACCGAGGCAGGTGAGTGCCGGGTGGCGGCGGGCGGCCCCTGGGGGTGCGGACCGCGGGGAGCCCGGGAACCGGGACGCAGGAAGGCGAGCCGAGGAGGGGGGTGTGCGCGCCGTTCCCGCGCCCCGCGGGCAGCTCGGGTGCCCGGCTCCGCCTCGTGGGCTTGACTTCCCGCTGGATTCCCGGCGCCCGGCTGGCATCCCAGGCGAGGGGGAGACGCGGGGCCCCGCGGGCGGGCTCCCTCTCCCCGCAGCCCGTGGGCTGGTGCTGAGAAGCCGGCCGAACGCCCGCTTCTCTGTCCCCGGGGACAGTCTGCGGGGGACCAATAGACGCCCCAGAGGGAGGACACCGGGGTGCAGACTCCGCCGGAACCCACCGGTCAGGTAGGGTGGACCGCGCAGCTGACCCCAGAGTGAGGACCTCTGTGCCGCCAGCGCTCCCCCGGCCTCACGAGGCTGGACAGACCTCGCTATCCACTTTGATAGCGTCTTGCTACCCCTAACCACAGCTCCCACAGGGGCGGGTGTGCTGAGGTGGGAGAGGAGGGCGCTTTGTGGATGGTGAGACTGATCAAGTCAGGTCGGGTCCTCGGCCACTCTCTGGGGACTAGCATTTTAGAGACTATCCCTCTCCCTCTCCCTCCTGTGTACGTCTCAAGACAGCAAGACTAGAAAGGGGTTCTCAAGCGATGAAGGGCAGCCCTGGACTCTCCGGCCTTCCCCACCCGCCCTTGGGAGGCTGTTAGCAATCCAGTCTGCTCTCAGCCACCACCACCCTAGGAGCCACAGACCCCCGACCCCCCTCCCTCCACAAGGCTCGGTTCCTCCTTCGTCGGGGTTGGCCCATCCCCGAGGGTGCGAATCGGGAAGCCTAGAAATAGGGTCCCGGAGCCGATCCAGAGTAGCAGGGCCAAACAGGAGAGAACGGATTTATTCTAGAACAGGGCTTCTTAATTTTTCCAGTCCGGAGGGCCTCATTCACCTGAGGAATTCTTCCATGTCCCTGGGTTTATAAGTGCACAAAGTGGGCATAGAAGTCAAACATTTACTGATCATAAATCATTAACGTGTTTTAAAGCAACTCTTTGATATGCATATAATTTTATCATTTATTAATGAGTAAAGTAAATTTGCATAGTAATGAGATGGATTGTGTATTTTTATATAAAGAATTAATCTTGGCCGAATATTTGATATAGCATCTTCAACGTTTTTCAGAGTCGAATGATAACTTTGATTTTATAGTCATCAATGCTGAGAACGCCACTTTATATAAACGTGGTACAAATGGCAGGGGTGTTTCAGGGCTGTTTCAGAATCTGTTGGTAATTCTTTCCTAATTCCAAGCCAAATTTCATTTAATAATTTTTAAAAGTGAAACTCCAGCCAACTGCTCAAACAGCAATTTTTTGAATTTATTTTGTTATCGGGGGAGGGATACCCTCTGAGTCCAGAAGTGGGTATCACTTCCCCCGGATCTGAAGAAATTACAGGCAATTGTGAGCAACACAATGCTGGTGCTGAAAGCTGAACTCTGGTTCTGTTTAAGAGAGCCCTCTGCAAGAGCAGCAAGCTCCTGTGACCACTAAGCCATCGCTCAGCCTTTCAAATAGAAATCTTTAAATCAAAACATTTTGGCACAATAAATCCAAGGATACACTAATTTGTAGCTGAATGCAATAGTATGTAGCATATAATTCCAACTATTAGGGAGATTGAAGCAAAGTATCAGGAGTTCAAGCCTAAGTGGTGTGACTCTGCCTCAAACATAAAACCAACAAAAAAGATAAACCAACCAGATACTTACATACTGAGAAATGGTGACACTGAAAGTCTTTGGTTTCCATAATTAAACCGTTATGTTTTCATGAGAGCAGAAAGCTCTGCTTGTACAGTAATCGGACATGTGCAGTTCATAGCGCGTGGGTCTGAAGCGAGGTGTTTCAGGTCCTGTTCACAGGCATTGCTAAGCTAGATAGCACCCAGGGCAAAGTGCATGCGTGTGTGTGTGTGTGTGTGTGTGTGTGTGTGTGTGTGTATTCAGAAACAAGGTGACAATGAAGGCTCCCAATGCAACTTGGTTGAGGGATGCCAGAAATGGCTTGGATTCATTATGTTTGATTTGGTTTTAATTGAATTTTGGTCATTCTGAAACCACTTACAGTCATTCAGTTTTTTTTTTTTGCAACCCCCTCATTCAGTTATGCCAGCCCCCCAGTGTAAGAGACTGGCTTCTAGGGCAGCAGGAAAGCCTCTCCCAGCCACCAAGAGATTCCTATTCATCCCGGCCTGTCCCGCTGTCTAATAAGGGGTTGGGTCAAACCAGCACTGTCTGCTGGGAGAAGGGCAAGGGAGCACATTCTTCTTGGGTTTCTGTGGAGAGGCCAGCTCATTCCGCAGCCAGCAGGCAGAGGGCCTCCCATCTCCTGGCCCCTGGGTGAGTCTGGCTGGGCTGCACCCAGGGAGCTGTTGGGGAGCACTGCCACATCTGATGTTCGCTGTCCATGGTTGCATCTCCCCCCAGGTCCTGGATGGTATCTGTTCTTCCAAGGAGTCCAACAGGGAACTACACACTGACCCCAGCTACAAGGGCTGGACTCCACGTGGCCACACACCCCTGATTCCATCCCAACTGCAGGCATCAAAATGGCAGCCCAGCACACAAACACTAGCTTTGCACCTGACCTGAATCCACCCCAGGACCATGTCTCCTTGTTCCCTTCAAACTTCAGTTATGGTGATTATGACCTCCCCTTGGATGAGGATGAGGATGTGACCAAGACACAGACCTTCTTTGCGGCCAGAATCGTCATTGGCGTGGCCCTGGCAGGCATCATGCTCGTCTGCGGCATTGGCAACTTCATCTTCATCGCTGCCCTCGCCCGCTACAGGAAGCTGCGCAACCTCACCAACCTCCTCATAGCTAACCTGGCCATCTCTGACTTCCTGGTGGCGATTGTCTGCTGCCCGTTTGAGATGGACTATTACGTGGTACGTCAGCTTTCCTGGGAGCATGGTCACGTGCTGTGCGCCTCGGTCAACTACCTTCGTACAGTCTCCCTCTACGTCTCCACCAATGCTCTGCTGGCCATCGCTATTGACAGGTGAGGTTCACTTTAGCCCTCCCGGTGACAATGTGTTCTGTTCATCAACATTTGAGCAAGCTTGAAGTGTCTGAGTCTCATAGCTCTGGTTTCTGCTTAAGATATAGCTAGTGCATGGCCTCCAACACAGAAGCAAAAACAAAGCAGGAAATCCAGGCAGCAACTACTTAAAATCCATGGAAGAGTTAACTGGAGCAGCTTCCAGTTGAAAGAATGGGTACCAAGTTTTTTGATGTTGCCAGATCCAGATACAAAGCATTCCATTGCTTAGGAAGCCTCCTGTGCCCCTGATGAGTTTCCCCGCCAGTCTTAGTAATCAGTCTGTCATCACAGCGCAGGTCTGTCTGTTCTTTAATCACTTCCTTAGAATCATGCAGCACGTAGCTTCCCTTCTGGTGGCTTTACTGCAGAGCTGATCTGAAAATAAGATAGCAGAGTCTGCTTACAAGAGGGAAGGACTTCTTTGTTTTTGCTGTTTTGCATGCATCTGCATGCTTATTTACATACATTTGCATGAGACATCCCAGAAGTCCTTACTCTGCTATAAATTGTACGTAAATTTATAGCATCAGTGAATGGGAAATCTTGTATGTTACAGTTGTGTGCAGTTTCAGGCCAGCATTGTCGCCAGTGGCTGGGTGGGAAAGAGGCCCTCTGACAGTCCACCCTTTGGAGCTGTTCTGAAATGCATTCTGAAGGTGTGCTTCATGACCTTCCCCTTTGTCTCCTTCAGCTCTTCAGTCTCTCCCTTGCTCTGAGTGCTGTTTAGTGCCTCTTAACATACCGGTTAGTTATTTTTCATTTATATTAATAAACAAAACACAGGAACATGATGCCTCTTCCTTTTTATAGCAAGATACCTGTGGGAAAAGCAGCTCTCAGGCTCTGCAGTCTGGAAACCAGCTGATGGAATGCACACTTGACAGCCAACCTGCACAGAATTCCTCAGGAAAATCCCACTCTTCTACTCTGATCTATCACTTGTTCTAGTGATAGAGTCTAGTTCCTGGGCTCCACCCGCCCAAGTCGCCCGAATGGTGATCCCTTGTGCTGGGAGTTGCAAAAACCTGCCCTTTTATTCCCTTTCACCAGTGACTCTGATGCCAAAAGGAGATCTATCGCTGTCCTTGCCCCCATCCTCTTGTAAGCGCTGTGTCTGTGATGACAGTCTCGCTCTGTCTTGTGGTTTGTGGTTCTGGAGCTGCTTGGGAAGCATTCTCCCTGGCACAGACAATAACTGTTCCCGGCACAGCCTCAACACCCTGCCAGCCATGCCACCACTCCCGAGACCCAAGCAGGAAAGTAACCATCGTCCTCCACCTTCCTTCCTGTCTGTCACCCACTGACCCCGTCCCTTTGTTTAGCTCTAAGTGAGTCCAGTATATGTCCTCCCAGCTTTGCCATGATGGACAGCCCTGATGCTCTGCTGTCCTGCCTCCTGTTCCCCAGGAGCATCTAACTGTCTCCTAAAATCCACCTGCATCCGTTCCAAGCATCTGAGCATCAGTCACTGTTGCCGGCTCTTCCTAAGATGTTCCCTTGCTCATGGAATCTCCGGAAGTCCCAATGTCACAGGATATAAACCCTGAGTCTAGCACTGTGGGCTGTGCCAGCCTGGCCTTCCAATGCATGTTGCGTATGGAGCTATAGATGCCCTCCTCTGTACGTCTCAAGGCAATCATCGGGTCTTTGGTCTTTCTGTTGCCACACCAGGATACCTCTATCTTAGTCTGCGTTATTCCTCCCAGACCTTCTGACACAGATTCATGAGCAGGCGACTGACTTACTGAAGGGAGGAGCAGTAAGGACAGTTCTTTGCTCAAGCTCTACTAAGAAACCCTTGCAGTAGGTGTGGCTCATGGCTCGAAGTTCTAGGATCAGAAGGAGGGAACTGGGTGTGCATACACAGCTCTGGCAAGTCATTGCAGAGGGCTTCTCTGGAAATACTGCTCAGGCAGCCACGAGGACTCTGAAAGCCAGAGGAAACCCTCGGACAAACAGGCAGAAAGGCGGGTATTGGCATGCTGGAGTACACGCACATATGCTGAAGGGGCAAAGAGGAGCGAGAGAATGCATACCACAGTAGTGACAGCATAGGGGTATGGAGACGAGGGTAACGGTAGAGGGGCAGAGGGGAGGAGATGCTGAAGGGATAAGAGCAGGGGCATATGGAGAAGGTGCTGGCAGCTTCTGCCGTGAAATGCACACTTGACTGCAATGGGTTTGTGAGCTCTGCTGTCCTCAGGCTGTGTACATAAACACACAAGCAGTAGAAGATAGAGTTCTCTCGAGTTTGTTTTTTTTTTTTTTTCCATGCAAAAGCTAGGAATTATCAAACACTGAGAATAAATAAAGATACACTGATTTGGAAGTGCTAATTTTTCAAGAGAGGCAAGGGTCTCACCTATGTAGTCCAGAATGACTTTGAACTGCCTGAGACTACTGGGCACTGGGATGACGGGCAAGGACCCTTAGAACTAGACTTAGCTCCTCAAGAAGCTTATACTCGCCTTGACTTGGTAAAGGAACTAGATGGAGAGGAGGCCCCATGGGCAGGAGAAATCTGACAGCACAGGGGAGCCTGTGAGTTCTGCGTAGGTGCTGGGAGTTCTGTGAGGCTCAAACATGTAAAGCCTCATACAGAGCCCTGGGCCTTAGGACAGAGCCCTAGTAGAGAAATAATATGAGCCCTTCTCCCATCATCAGGCTCTAAAATGATCAGAAAGACAGACAAGACAGCCCCACCTTTCCTGATGATGCTGATTTTCAAAAACAGGTCTTTTTACTGGGGCCACGTTAAGTGGTTTTTCAGATGGCTGTTTATATTCAACCTCAGAGAGAGAAACAATTTAAGTTTGCTGTAAGTTAGAAGAGACTTGAGAGCCTCTGCCATCCCTCCACACAGGTCATTTCCTGAGAGCCTCAAAAAGGAATGCCACCAGCCGGGCCCCGAGTTCACCCAGTGAGAACTGTCAGAGTTCTGACCTCCAGACCTGCGCTATCACAATGCGTGCTATTTCAAGCTGGGGCATTAATTAGAAAGGCAACAGGAAACGTCGACCCAGTGGGACTGAAGCACCCACTCAGCCCGGGCCCCTTGCCCATGCACCAGTCTCCCGGTGCACATTCATTCCCTGTCTTCAAACAAGCCTGCTCTGCTGTGTTGAGTCTCCAGAAGGCCATGGCATGCTGTCTTTGGGAGCTGAGCCCAGACTCCACGCTCAGGCGGAGGAGGTGCTGTTTCCAGCTGTAGAAAGCTGAGGGAATACACCGACCTCAAGAGCACACATGCAGTAGAGTCAAGCAGACAGCTGGCGGCAGAGACCTTGCAGATGTCTCTCTTGCCAAGCGGTGAGTCATGGGAAATGATCAGCAGAAGCAAAGTATCATAACTCCATCATCCATTATGATGATAATGGATATCATCCATAACTCCATCATCCATTACTTTCTTGGAAGCTGACACAAATCCTGATAGCTTGTCAATTAAGTCCTTATTATCCCCACTTCACAGATGCAGAGACTAAGTCTCAGGGGCATAAGTTATTTATTCAAGTGCCTAACTCAGAAACAGGCCTGCCTAGTACCCCTTAAGTCCATGGTCTTTTCTTTCTTATCAACTTGAATTTTGGAATGTCCTTTAGAGTAAGAAAGGTGTCGCAAATGACAAATTATTTGGGTGTAAGAGTTAATGATAGCCAGACATAGCACAAACATTTAAGAGGCAGATTATCAGTCTGTGTGTGTGTGTGTGTGTTTGAGACTAGCCTGATCTACAGTTACGTTCCAGGCCACCCTGGACTACACTAAACCATGTCTTTAAAATAAAGAAAGGTGAGAGTGACAACAGAATAAGCAGAGATGTGACCTTCTCCTTGCGTTGGTTATCGGTATACTGTACATGGCGACAGGGCCAGCCTGAGAGTAGTATTAAGTCCTAAATTTGTTTTACAGTCTCTAAAGACTTTGGATTTAGTACAGTACACAGAATAATAGATGCCCAACAAACATAACTGCATCCAAATCCTCCAAACCCATGACGGTGCTGTACCAAATGCTGAGAGGGAACAAAGTAACCTAAGGAACTGTGGTTGCTGATCTTTTATAATAGAGTCTATAAAAGAATAATTTGGGTGGAGCTGATGGATGGCAAAGGTTCTTACCTGAAGGAAGCAGGCAGAGCACCATGGTGGGCCAACTTGAGAAAGACTCCACTGGCCATTGCTGGCTCTGATGAAAGAAGAGGTTATGAACCAAGACATACAGGCAGTTCTTGAAATGCTGGAAACCCAGACAACAACAAAAACCAAACAAAAGCCGCCCCCCACACCAGGTTCTGTCCTGAGAACCCCTAAAAAGTACCATCCAAGATTACCCAATGAAAACGAGGTCAGACTTCTAACCTCCAAAACTGCACTATCACGACATCTGCCGTTTCAAGTATCACTTTTATTAAAAAGGCAACAGGAAAGAGTTTGTCCAGTATCACAGGAGACAGTGGCTGGGATGGACCCAGCTTTCTCAGTATTCAGAAGCTTCAACTATGGAATTTTGCTGGAGAGCAACCAGCAAGCAGGGACAAATGGGACAAAATGACAGAAATACTGCAAGGGACAGAGAGGGGCTTCTAAGTCAAATCAAGGGTTTGGAAGGGAGATCAAAGAGTCCGGTTAGGAGGAGAAGGCAGGTGAGATGGAACTTTCCACCGGTGGCCTCCTGCTCTTGGTCCACACACATTGCCTGGATGAACTGTTCTTACCTGCCTCTCATGCCTCTTCTCCTCCTCCGCCCTTCCCTACCATCCTTCCTGTCCCTGCCACACAATGCACAGAAATCATTCCAGGACCCACATACCTAAAATATCACTCCGTCTCTCCGGAAGGAAGGCAAGCAACCCACACAAATGTGGCTCACTGAAAAGAACAGGGGTAAAGATTCAAGGTGCCACAGTGGGGTGCCTTGCTATGCACTCCCCAGCTGGGTGTGCAAGCTTTGTATCAGGAGGCTTCATTCTGGTACCTGCTGGCCATGAAGCCGGGCATGGTGCTCATTTCCTACCAGCGTCCTGACTCCCATCTAACGCTGCTGCCTCCATAATGCAGGCTGAGGAGGAGGAGGAAGCCGAGCAGTGTCCACCCCTCGCTCTGGGGTACACAGCTCTTCTTTACCTTGCATCATGAGGTGTTTGAAATAAGAATTTTAAGCGTACCGTGTTCGTAGGTAGGACGGCAAGACTGAAAACTCAAAAGGAACAATGGTCCCCTGAACGGATGAGCATGTGTGTCTACTGAAAAATACTCGCACAGCACATCCTTACCGTGTCTAATGCCCACAGACATCCTACAAGGTAAGTACCATCGGTCTCAGGTTGTATTCAAGGAAACAAATCTCAGGGAGAAAGGTGACTCCCAGATCCCTACGCCAGGCGAGGGAGAAAAACCAGGCTAGTTAAACCTATTTCTTGTTTCCATCAAATCCTGGCTCTAAATGCCATGTGGGGCTGTTCCCGAGCTAACGCCACTTAAACCTGGGTAGAAGGGACCTGGGGATCCATCCCGGGCCCTGGGCTGGTTGAGAACAATCGTGCGTCCGAGTGTAACCGTCACGGCTGGCTTCTCTCTCCCTTCAGATACCTCGCCATTGTCCACCCCTTGAGACCGCGGATGAATTATCAGACCGCCTCCTCCCTGATCGCTCTGGTCTGGATGGTCTCCCTCCTCATCGCCATCCCATCCGCCTACTTCACCACGGAAACCATCCTCGTCACCGTCAAGACTCAGGAGAAGATCTTCTGCGGCCAGATCTGGCCGGTGGACCAGCAGCTCTACTACAAATCCTACTTCCTCTTCGTCTTCGGCCTCGAGTTTGTGGGCCCCGTGGTCACCATGACCCTGTGCTACGCCAGGATCTCCCAGGAGCTCTGGTTCAAGGCCGTGCCTGGCTTCCAGACGGAGCAGATACGCAAGCGGCTGCGCTGCCGCCGCAAGACAGTGCTGTTGCTCATGGGCGTCCTCACGGCCTACGTGCTGTGCTGGGCACCTTTCTATGGCTTCACCGTCGTGAGAGACTTCTTCCCCACCGTGTTTGTGAAGGAGAAGCATTACCTCACCGCCTTCTATGTCGTTGAGTGCATCGCCATGAGCAACAGCGTCATCAACACCGTGTGCTTCGTGACAGTCAAGAACAACACCGTCAAGTACTTCAAGAAGATGCTGCTGCTGCACTGGCGGCCCTCTCTCCACGGGAGCAAGTCCAGCACCGACCTCGACCTCAGGACCAGCGGGCCTGCCACCGAAGAGGTGGACTGTATCAGGCTGAAGTAGCCTGCCCGTGTAAATTATTCAGTGCATCACACCCCACCAACCACTCGTGAGCTGCCTGGGAAGAGACCGCTGTGTTTGTTCTCTCCCGCCCTAATGTATCCGGATGCTTCTATGCCATAACACACAGCACCGCCGATATCTGTGGAACATCTTAACAGACTAGACACAAATGCAGCAAGCGGTGTGGCCTGAATGCCTTCTGTCCGCAAACCACACCAACAGATTATTCAAGGACCCCAGCTGACATTTGCGGATTACCTGCTTTGTGCAGAAACAGTTGCCAGAAAAACGGTAGAAGCTATTTGGCGTTATTAAGCTCTATCTATCTATCTACCTGCCTATCTGTCTGTCTGTCTATCCATCCATTCCATCCATCTAGGTCACTAGAAAGAGATCACAAATGATTAGTCAGAATCGTGCCCTGTATTCTTCCATTCTGTATCTGATGAGCACAGAACTGTCAAGGCAATAGAATAAAGCCATTGGACACAGTAGAAATGTAAGGACGACTCCATCAATGTGGAGCCTGCGGCTTCATAGGAAGACAGTCCATACAGCATCCTGACTGTCCCCACTCCAGCTCTCTCCTTAGAGATTCTGTTCTTATCTCCAAATGGTGTCATTTCAAAGGAGAAAAGAAAGTCTTTACCACTGATGTGTAAATCTCCTCAGCCTATGGGGTGAAGATGGGAAATCCTGAGAAAAGAAATGCATCCAGTTCCTGACACTTCAACGCCGAGGATTTCAGGGCTGTGAGATCATAGAAGAGGAGGACACAGAAAGAGCAGAGGTCACCATTGGCAATGATTGTAATCTGGCCATTTTCTGTGGTCTGGATGACTTTTCTAGAACAGTAAAAGCAGCAGCAGCTCTACTTGAAACCCAAAGACGTGGGTCAGAGCCCCCACTCCAGGACTCATCTCTGTGTGCCCCATTTTAATGAAAGGGGACAAATAAAAACATCATTAGGAAAGCCTACTGAAGTCATGGTGTGTGGATGTGATTTTCAGCTCTACTGACACTGAATAGCTCATTAGAAGAATCCCCTTCACCCTGGTTTGTTACCTATGGAGGAACAGCTCCACATTTTCATCCCTGTTCATCGGACCAGAGACCACTGAACTTATTTTAACGTAGCACATCTGTCGTGGGTCTTAAAGGCCTCCCTGTGCTAGGATATAATAAAAAAAAGATACAGTCAGTGTCCCAACTCTCAGCATCCCTGTGGTCTTGGACAGTCTTCCCAGCATAGCATTGGTGACCCCAGAACTGGATCCATTAGTGTTATTATATCTACTGAACCAGGCTGACCTGGCTGTCTAGGTGTGTGTCTCCTTCCTCTTTCATGGCCCCATATGTGTCTCCCTTAAACTGCACAGTTACTAAAGAAGACCTCCCTCAACCCAGGAGGACCACTATTCTGTCCAGGGCATAGAGTGCTATGCTTCCCTGATAAGCCTCTTCAGTAGCCCCTGTCTTCTTTGGGTGTCAACAGAATTTACCTCCTCCTTATATCCAAACATATCATCCTCCTCTCATTTAGATTTAACTTGAAAGCAATCCTGTAAATATCAATGCGTGTTTGTAATACTCCAGTGAATAAAGTGAATGTTGTTATCCTATGGAGTAATTAGCATAATTAACATACATAATTATAATCACAGTGTACCAAGGCTTCCCTGCTAATGTTTTGTATCATGTTTATCTGTTTAAATGTAAATGAAGGAATAGCTGTCCCTAAGAAGTTCAACCCTGAAATGAAGGAATTCCCAAAGGTGTTCTTAGAGCAGGCCATCTCATACTAGCAGGAAACCACTGTCTTACGTGTCCCTCTTATTTATAAATGATTTCCAAAATGCAGACTTTGTTCACATGGAGAATGCCTCTAGTCAGAGCTAAGGGAATAAGCTAATTGCATTTGTGTCCACTCCCCTCCAGACTAATTAAAGGCAAGCTTACAACACTTTTAACATGTATAAGTACATATTTATGCCTACTATTTCATATTGGAAGTTAATTTCATCTGGTAAAGTCAGATTCATTTTTTTCTTGGCCACAGTATGAGAAAAGATATTAACACAATGAAGCTGTTACAGATGTTTGTTAAGCTTCCAACATTTAAAATAAGTTACTTCTAACATTGGAGAAGCCAAAAAATGCTTCATGCCCTCAGGCGTGACAAAGTTTCAGACTTCACAAGGAAGGATGTGACATGTGGGAGATAACTAGAAAATTTAACACGAGTTCTGTTTCTACTCAAAATGGTGGCTCCAAAACACATCCTCTGTATCCAATCATATACTCCCTTGGCCTCAAACAAACACACACAAACATACACGCACACACACATCAGCAGGACACCAGACCAGAAAACACCTTGAGAACGTAAAATTCCATTCCTTTCTTTGGTGGATTGGGATTCCAAAGAAGAAAATGACCTCTAAAGGGTACAGAGTCAATTCTTGCTAGAGCTAACGCCTTGCCCCCGAAATTTAACTCTGAGACAATGAGCAGCTTTCAGAGACTGTGCACACCTGAGTCCAGAGGACCTGGCAAACCTTGGTGGCAGGTTCCAGAATATGTAGAACCTTAACTCCCTAGGTTGTTTTTCTTGTTCTTTAAGAGAAGGTTAGTTCCCCGTCCTGGATTAAGCCCTGTGGTGTGGGCTTTAGATCAAGAGACAAAGTGTTGGCTGTACATGGAGCTTCCTTGTAGATAGCTGTTGGGAGCTCACGGCACCCAACTCTATCCAAAAGATGTTTAAGGAATAAAATCCAGTTCTAGTAAATAAGCATTTACCTAAAAGGTTTCCCATAATGCGTTTCAATTAATACTTATTTTAACATATCTTCCTTTCCTACGTAGAGCTGAGAATATTAAGTATGTGTATCCTCATGGGTTGTTATGCTAACTATGCATGTAATAATCCCATTGTTGTAGAACTGCATGACTGTGAATTTGTTTACAAACTAAAATTTATTTGTAATCCTCAAATTGGTGCTCATGATGCTTTTATAGTGATTTGTATAGTCACAAAATGGTGACTTTTGACTGATCCCGTGTACGTGTCCAGGAGTGGCTGAACAAGCCAAGACTCTGCCTTCTTATTTCAGCTACAAACAAGTATTTGGAACAGGACAGAAGGGACATTTCCATTCCACAGTGCAAGATTTCCACCGGTATTTCACATTGTGTAAGAACGGGCCTGCATATACACACGGATAACAGTGTGTTTGTTCTGAGCTAACCTTTAGCCCAGGTGTGATCTAAATGGTGGCTCAGGGGAAATGAGACCCATTCACCAAGACACCCCTCTCTCCACTCCCCCTTCTAATCCCCATCCCTTGGCTACATAAAAGAACTACAGGAGGAGACAGAGAGCCACCATTCCTAGGGTCTCAGAGACCAGGCTACCCCCTGACCAGAGGGGCAACATCAAATACAAAATGATTTGGTCACCATAAAATTATACTAACTGGGGTGGACCAAGACAGACAGATCCCTCTGGCTTCTCAGATGCTGACTCTCTGGATACAACACAGGCTATAGATTTTGTTTCTGTCTCTACTCACTGGTTTCTGGGGTGGCTCCAGTATCCCATCACACATGCTTTCAAAGTCTGTTTTGCTTGTGTCTTGCTTTTGAGAGCTTTTTCTTGTTTGTCTTGTATTTATAGGGCCCCCAAATGGTGCTTATGTGGCATACCTCTTACATAGAAATAGATAATTTACTTGTGGAACTGTTAGGGGAAGGATAGAAGGACCCAGAGAGAACAAGAATTCCACAAGAAGACCAACAGAGTCATCTAGGCCCACGAGGGCTCACAGAGACTGAAGTACCCACCAAAGAACACTGTTACATATCTGTTGGTCTGTACCAGATATGTAACCGATGGGCAGCTTGGTCTTCATGTGGGTCCCCTGGCAAGTGGAGCAGGGGCTGTCTCTGACACAGACCCTGTTACCTGCTTTTGAATCACATCCCCATAGTGGGGCTGATTTGCCTGACCTCAGTGGAAGAGGATGAGCTTAGTCATGATGAGACTTGATATGCCAGCGTAGGGGTGCTTAGTATGGGGGGTCCTCTTTTATGAGGAGAAGGGGAAGGGGGAAATGGGAAGAGAGAGGGAGGGTGGAGCCAGGAGGAGAGGAGGGAGGGGGCTGCATTCGGGATATAAAGTAAATAATTAAATAAATTTAATCTTAAAAAAGAAAATATATATTAGAGAGTTATAGTGGCCTTGGCCATGAACTCAACATCAAAAAGTCAAGTATGTGTTAAATAAAGCAGTTTTACGATGAAAGCATGGATGCATTTAAAAGGTTATATGATGACCAGTTGACAAAATGTGGCCAGTGGCCTCAGTGGTATGACCCCAAGCTTTCCGTGTGAGAAATGTGTCAGTATTTTCTAATTCTTTTATGTGTATAATATTTTCTAATTCTGTTTAATCATTTTACTGGACACTTTTGTAAGGAATGAGGCTTCAGTCCTGCCTCTTGGGTTCAAACCTTGTCTATCACAGCACCTTACCTGGGACGCTGGCTAGGTGAAACCTAAAGGTCTAGGGTTTTAATTAGACACGCGGTCATTTCTTGCAGCACCCCGCCCCACCTCCTTCCAAGACCACCTTTGGTGCAAATTAAAATTCTTGAAGAGGGAGCCCTGTAACGGAAACGCACACACTTGCCCAAGCCACGGCCCACACTTTCTGCAGACCACAAGTCTTAGGAAAAAGCTTACTTCCCACTAAACATCCGAGAACTACAGGCCGCAGCTCTAGTGCTGTTACAGAAAGCACACACACTTCCCCATCCCATGGTGGGAAGGAGGACAGCTCTGGTAAATACTTTACCTGAGTGTTTATGCGGCATTCAAGAGCAAGATGATGATCTTTGCAAAGGCACAGTGAGGGACTACTAATAGGAAATTCTATTTCTTTTCTGTTCTTTTTGTTGTTTTGTTTTATTGTTCCATTTATTTTTTATTTTTGAGACAGAGTCTTTCTATGTAGCTCTGACTGTCCTAGGTCCTTCTAGGTAGGCCAGGTTGTCTTCTAACTCACAGAGATCCACCTGCCTCCTGATGCTGAGATTAAAGGCATGCACCACCAGTTGGCTGGCAATGCTATTTCTCCCAACAGATCCAGGAACCAACATGTAGAAGACTGGGACAAAAGAGAATCCCATCAACACAAATGAAGTTTAGCTCCCCCTAGGAGATGTAGTCTCAAAGATTGTGGTGCAAATTATGAAGGAAAACCTTATTCTGTCTTTGTGTGTTTCAGCTGTCTCTGACAATTACACTGTTCTTGACACTGTTCTTGAATAGAGGGATATGGCAGTCAAATGGCATTCCACCCAATTCAACGTCCCTTCCTGAGGAATATAAAGGAGGAAGAGACTTGCGTGAAAATACACAGATATACAGACCTGGAGGAAATATACTTGACTGGGCTGTGGAGTTGAGAATGGCAGAAGCCACCTCTCACCCGCTGGCGCCACCTTAATAAAAATGTATACCTTCCTACTTACCCATACTGTAAGCACTGAAAAGGACAGGACATGGCAGGTAA